ACAAGGAGCCCAAAAAGATATACATACAAACTGCAGCCAATAGAGATAGAGGATTAGACCGGTGAGGACGGATTGGAACAACAATTTGAGGGATTTGGTACTACAACAGTCTGTTTAGCACCTCCATCCACTGTTTCTGCCATTTTTGCACTAAATGAGTCACTTTGACCCCTCTAATTTTTAGCCTTCAATACCATTCACCCAAATTTTAATCATTACCTAAAAAGTAAACACATAAAAAGCATTTAATGTGAACAAATCACCAATTCACGCTACAATCATCAATAGAATCCCATCAGTTAGTCAATGTATGTATGTATAATCAAATATCTGGCTTACCTTCAATTTCTCACATCTGATAATTCTTTCACAGATGAGGCGTAATCTCTCCAATTCAACCTGCATGACGATTTTAAGAAAAAAAATTATGATTTTGGATTCAAATAATGTTTTTATAAACAACAATATAACGTACCCTGACTTTCTTCAGAGAATTCCATTCTTCAACTCCATGTTTTTTAGTCCCGGCCAAGAATAAACAACAAATAAAGTATTGTAAGGAACTAGTATCATATTTGATAAAAAATAGAAGCAGAAAAACAAGAAGGTTGACAGTGATTAATGTTATGGTAAATAATAATAATAATATATCACCTCATAAGTAAGAATCACAATCAAAGAATATTACCTCAGCATAGAAGGCATGGACCCATTTACCATCAGTTGACTTCCTAAAAGCACCAGTATTGCCACCACATACCTGAAAGATGGGACCCCCTATTTCTAGAAGATGGTGAATCTTCACATGACTCACAAAACCATGGACTTATAGAATCTTTCAGCAAACCGATTCACTGTATTACCAAAATTGTTCTCCTTTTGGCTACCGTTCTTCACTTTTTCCTCTTTTTTCCTAGAATCCACACTCTTTTTCCCATTATGCCTCTACTTATCTACAATGAAAGATTTATTATTTGCAGCAACAAACTCCTGGTTCTTTTGATGATTCCAATGGCTAACACTCTCCCTATTCCAATTCCTATTATGACTTCTATTATTCCAACATTTATTACCATTATTACAACTTCCTATTTTGTTATTCCCTCCATTCCAATTACTACCTTTGCTTCTAGAAACATTGGGCTGAATAGCACCTTTACTGTACCCCTCACAGTAGCAGTCCCTGCATTTCCATCTTTTTTCGTGACCATAGTTTACCCCTCACCATCTTTATCAATCACATCCTGAATATCACTCTTGACATCAACATTTTTCCCATTTATAACAGCCAAACAAATTGAATCATCATTCCCATAAACTAAAATTATTCATATGACTCTTCACTTGATTCATATCAGAATTAGGGCTAGAAATCACAACTGCATCCTTAGGAATTTCCCAATTCTTATATAAGTTTGCAGTGTTACCTGAAGGAATAGAATCCTAATGAATGATCAGAGGCAAATCCGTGGTCACTTCATCCAAAAACATTGGAACTAGAACCCTTGATCGAAGCTTGACAAGCAACCCTAGAAGCACTGGAATCGGATTCCCACACACCATCAGATTCCGATACATCCTCCTTCTCTTCTTCTGTAACATCATCCACATAGTAATCCTCAACATCTACAGGAGTTCTGAGAAGAGAATCGCCCCGATTAGGATTCCTAGCTTTATGCAAACCCACCAATTTCCACTCCGATTTCCCGATTCCTGACACAACAGCTCCAGTAGCACTTGGCTTTCATCAGGCACGGTAGAAAGTAGACAAAGACTAATCGATAACCCCTATAGGAATAACATCGTTTAAATTGACCTCAATCCGCACAAATCGACCCACCGCTCCTTTATCAGGATGCTTGACCTTTACATCCTTTAATCGATCCTGCTTAGAAGAAGCTCCCATCGCAACAACGAAAATGATGAGAAGATACTTCAACAATGAGATGAAAAAGGGTAGAGAGAAGTCGTACCAAGTTTAGGGTAGAGAGAGAAAGGGTACAGAGAATTGTAGAGAGAGAAAGGGTAGAGAGAACTGTAGAGAAAGAAAGGGTACAGAGAGAAAGCATTTTTTTTGTACCTTGAAGTTTCTTAATCTCGTTCTTCAAGTCGGCCTCAAAATTATCCTTCTGATTTACATTGTCAGTATCGTATACCTAAAATACGAAATTCAACACGCGAACATGAAATTTCAGCATTCAAATTACACAAAAACTAATAACGTCAATAATTCAAAGAAAATTAAAAACATTTACGAAGAGGCTTAGGAGAAAGGATTAATAGAAGTTATACCAGGTTTTAGGGTAGAAATCAAACTAGTTTCGATTGTTGCAGAGGTCTAGGACAACCGATCAAGAATCGGAAAGCGTTTTGAATTTTCTTGAAAAAGCCCTATGTGTGAATGAAGGGAGATACAAAGGAGAGATCGAAGAAGCGGGCACTTCAAAAATTTTTCACTTTAAAAACCCAGTTTAATAAAAAAAATATAAAGCGACATTTTTAGAGGACACACATTTAAAACACGTGCCCTCTGTGTTTGTATTTTTTTTGGACATTAATTTTAAGGCATGCAAAAATGCGTGTCCTCTATCCTTCAAATTTTGGAAGGCTGACATTATTTTTAGGGACACACAAAAATGCGTATCGTAAATCAGCGAGTGTCATTGTTTGCGTGTCATTAAAGGGTATTTTTCTTGTAGTGTGTGATAGTAGTAGAGTTCGGTTGTTAGGACCGAAAGGTAGGTCAGGCACCCCGGATATGTCTGATAGAATGTGATGATATGTTTATATGCTGGCATGATATGTTATATGTGATAGTGGTAGTAGGAGGGGAATAGTGCCCAAGTTAAGTTGTTAGGACCGAAGAGTAGTTCGAACACCCCATATATGTCTGATGGTATGTTTATGTTATGATATATGTGATAGTAGAAGTAGGGATGGAATAGTCCCCGAGGTTCAGTTGTTAGGACCGATGGGTAGGTCAGCACCCCAGAACGGCTTGACACGGGTAGGTCAGCAGCCTAGAATGGCTTGACACATGTAGGTTGGCACCCTAGAATGACCGTACCGGGTAGGTCGGGTGCCCCAGAATTGCCCGACAGTATGTATGTTATATGATTGTATAGTATGTGGTACGATGGGGGAAGTCACTAAGCTTCGTGCTTATGGTTTATAGTTTTGGTTTCAGGTACCTCTTCAGCAAAGGGGAAGGGAGCTGACTCAGTAGCCGCACATCGTACACACTCTCATTATCTTCCGCTTTATAAGATATTATGGGATTGTACTCTAACATGATATTATTTTTAGTATTTGGGTTTTCAGACATGATACATTGTTTATGAGATGATATGATTTCACACTGTTACTTACAAACGTTTTGCAAATCCATTAAATTAAAAATGGAATTTTTAAACGTGAAATTTGGGTTGTTACAAGTTGGTATCAGAGGGTTTGAGGGATTCAGGCACACCCTCGGGGATTATGGACTCAAACCGAGGGATTAAAAGATTTTTACAAAGAAAACGGTTTTCTAAAAGCGAATTTAAAAAGTTTTAAGAAAGAACAAGGTGTGTAATGTGAGAGGCCGGCCGAGCTCAAGTAAGTTTTTCCCCAAAGTACCCATACAAGTTTATGTTATGATTATCCGTCTCAGTAGAACAACATGCTAGAATAGGACTAATGGTCTAGGAAGGATGCCTTATGTGCCTGTTATATGTGCTTTTGAGCTGCATGATAGTGTTGATTAGATAGATAGGATAGCCTACTTAGGGTATGCCAGATTAAATGAGCTTATATCGCATGCTAGTACAGATTCGTGTTATGTGGATAGAATTTCTTGAGCATGTTTCCTTTTTGTCTGAATGCTACTTGGTTTGTGCTATGTGGGACTCGGAGTGATGGGATTTAGCTATTAGGTGGGTACGTTAGGTCACATGCTATTAGTATTAAATAATATCATAGTGTTGGATTTGACCCTACTACGTAGCTCTTGTTTGAGTTCTAACCGTTGTGGGGGTGAGTCCCTTACTCGAAGGATTGTTTGAGCATTGTGGCATGTAACTGTACCCATATGGTGGCTAATTGGCGTTACAATGAGGCCTTCAGCAGCTGAGGACTGGTTTGGGTGGAGTTAGAGGTACCCTAGGGCAAGTCTGGGATGAGAGTAGCAGAGAACATTAGTAGAAGAAGGGACTTGGTGGAGTCGAGGCACTTCTTGAGGAAAGTACGGATAGATGTGGAAGGTAGTATAGGCCCGTACTACTGAAAGAAGAGGATTCGTACTCAAGTCGAGGAAGGATGAGACGAGATTAGAAAACTTGTGATAGATGTGATCCCTGTGGATGTACCTGTATCACTGACAGTTGTCATTATGTATTGCAGAATGGTGGTATTGCGTCCGAGGCTAGCAGTTGGCACTTCAGGAGAGGGTTCTGGTTCGGGTTCAAGTTCCGAACCAGTGGATGAGAGGCTACGCGAGTTCATCACATCTGAGATCACTAGAGGCATCCTTGATGCAACCCCAATCATCTTTGGGTCGATCAAGGAGGGGATTATCGCGCTGATGGATGATCGCCTCAGGGCGTTCAGGAGTGACATGGCGACCAGCCAGTCAGGATCACACGCATTGTCCTTTAAGGACTTTAGGGGCAGTGGTTCCCTAGATTTCCATGGGGCGAAGGACCTCATTGCGGCGAGGTGGTGGATTGCAGACAATGAGTCTACACAGTTGACCAGCTTCGGCCCCGAGGGGTCGAAGGTGAGATATGCAGTAGGGTGCTTGAGAGATAGGGCCAAATATTGGTGGGATTCGGTTGGTGACTCTTTGGGAGCCTTGACTATTGAGGCTATGACATGGCCAGATTTAGTGACCTGGTTCAGGGCTGAGTTCGCACCTGCGGTGGAACTCCTGCAGTTGGCACGGGAGTTCCTACATATGAGGCAGACGATTGAGATAGTGGCGGAGATCACCGCTAAGTTCTGGGAGAGGGTGTTAATGGTGCCCTAGTATGCAGGAGATGAGGACATGAGGAGGACCCGCTACCATGACATGCTGCGAGCCGACATTTGGGAGCATGTTAGTTTTTTAGCTTGCCCTACCCTGGATTCCATGATTGTCAGGGCAAGAGAGAGGGATATTGATCTGGAGGACATCCAGAAGAGGAAGGTAGAGGAGGGGAAGACGACTGGGGCTTCGGGGAAGAAGCCTAAGGGATCAGATGGTAGGTCGAAAGGCCAGTTAGGACAGGGTCGCTGCAGGAAATGCGGCAAGCCGCACAAGGAAGCGTGTATGTTGGGATCTTCGGGCTGCTACAAGTGCGGAAAGACGTGGCATTTCAACAGGGATTGTACCGTTCCTACGCCCACTATTCAGACATCTGAGTTGCTGTGTTTCCACTGCAACCAGAGGGGCCATAAGAAGGCCAATTGCTCCTAGTTGATAGCAGCAACGCAGTGAAGGTGCCATCCAGTGAACCTGCGGATTACTGATGGGTGGCAGGGCAAGGCAGTGGCTCCAGTGGTGAGGATTCAGGCCTTCCAGTTGACTACAAAGGAGGCACGCGCCGCACCCAATGTGGTGACAGGTATGATTCTTCCCCTATGATCTATTTATATGATGTTTATGATATTGATATATGGACTGTATATATATATATATATATATATATATATATATATATATATATATATATATATATATATATATATATATATATATATATATATATATATATATAAAATCGTTCCATGTTAACGGTATACCGGTTCAGGTGTTGTTTGATTAGGGCGCTACCCGATCGTTTGTTTCTCTTGCGCTTAGCAAGAAGTTTCCTGAGTCTCGGGCATGTTGGATTGCCCTCTAGAGGTTGAGATTGCGGACGAATAGTCTGTGCGAGCAACATAGGTCTTTCTGTTGGATAAGGTGTCGAAGTCCATAACTATTTCTGGTAAATACTTGACCCGACCCGGCATGGTCCATTTGGGTTGCATGGCACCATGCAATTGGATAAACTAAATGAGAGAAATAACACATATCGTTCATTAATATATTATAAGTTCTAATATATTAATAATCTTATTTACTTAGTTTGATCAAGAATTAATTTAGAACTAATTAAGTGATCAAAAGACAACTAATTAAATGTATGGATTGATTATGTAAATCATCCATAACTTATATAGTGGGCTAACAGGCTCCATGGATAATCAAGATGGGTTATACCCATTGGAAGGTCCATGGAGGCTCCATGGGAGTTACAAACCCATGGGTCATGGAAATGAAGTGTCATGACACATTTGGGTGTAACCCTAGATGTGTCAACACTATATAAAGTTCATGTGTTCTCCCCAAAATCGGTTAGACAAGAAACAAGAGGGCTAGAGCCGATTTTGAGTGTCATACATTCTCTCCAAGTTTACTCCATAGCATTTGGTGTTGTGTGAAGCATTTGAGGCATCACACTTGGGGTGCTAGGCTCACAAGCTTTCAAGGGAACACCTACAACAACAAGGTATGTAGATCTATCTATTATTTCAGTTAAAATTGTTCCCCATGTATTCTAGATAGGATCATAGCCTTGGAAATCAACTTTTCATGATAATTAGACAAACATAGATCCAAGGTTATTAGGGTTGCATGTACACTTTGGAAGTGTTAGAATGCGCAAAACCCATCAGTGGTATCAGAGCCTAGGCTTGCTTGTTTGATTTTTGTGCAAACTGCTTGAAAAAATCGAGTTTTCTACTTTCTGCCCGTATGAACTCGCCGAGTCCATGGGGGGACTCGACGAGTCCATGACCAAATGCAAGCTACTCGCTGAGTCAGTTCATGCACTCGACGAGTAGAAGCTGCAGTTTTAGAATTTCGATTTTAGTTGATGGAAATGGACTAGAAACATTACCCTAAAT